CGAAAAGCGCTTTTTCAATGTTCACTCGGCAATATTTTTAAAGCACAAAAAATAAGCCCAGGTTAGTAGTAAAAAGTCTTCACTGAATGAATGTTTTGCTAAGTTACGGTTAACCTAGCAAAGTCTTAATTATTTAATAAATGGTAAGAGCATAAAAAAAACCCAAAAGTGGCTTAAAATAGCGCAGAATGAGCACCAAAAACACAATATTTTTTTCATTTGAGCTCCGCTAGCTTGATTGAGCTATAATCAACAGCCTAATTTTGATGTTCACTAGTTCGTCGAAATGGAAAGGTTATACAAATGTGTAGCTTTTGATTGAAATAAAATGTACTTTAAGTGTATAATTTCAACAAATTCTAAAGGCCGGTTTCTTAATGTTTGGTTAACACTAACTAAAGGGTAACCATCGTGGTCGACTCCATAACATATAACAGGGGTGGACAAGGCCGAAGCCGAAAAAAGCCACATGTAAATTCTAAATGCCACAAAAAAAATAAAAAAAATTATTATTTTTTAAATAAAATTATTATTAGAAATGAAAAACATTAATTTTATTATCCCTTCGACCAAATTTTCAAAATCTGGTTTTACGTCAGTTAAATCCGTTCGTAACAGTTCTGTTAAATGTCGGTTAGTCAATAGGTACGTTCGTTTAAAATCTCCAGTAAAAAATGTCCAACAACAAAATTCTGGCGAAATGTCATCTGTTCTCTCACAGGAATAAATATCCAAAATAGTACGCGAACAGAAAGTTTGCAGAAACTTGCAAGTTAGACGAACAGCTGATAGAAATTTTGTTTACATTCAAAAGCATAAAATTGAAAACGTAAGAAAACAAACTCCGAAATCTTATACTCACACAGTTCACTGACTAAACGAATAATTACTTTTCTAATTTAACTTCCAAACCATCAACTTCAATTTAGGGATTTTCGTAAATTCCAACCAGCTGTTTTCTTGTTGTTAAATAGCTGTGGGGGAAAATTTAACCAGCAGAAACTAGCAGCTTTCCCTCAAAATGAAATGTCATTTTGCTCTCTCAATTTCGCCTACTTTGCATTTTTTTTGGGTACGCGAATACAAAAAGCTTATAGTTTTTATAACTTTCAATAATTATCAGGTACGCGAATGCAACTAATGTGAACGGTATTCTGACTTTACGAATTTCATTGTAGAGTACAAAGACTCACAGTTACACTTTGTACCAAAATTTGAAAATATATGTCACGCAGCTGTTTTCACCAGCGGATATTTTAAATTTGGTACTTGTTGCCGGAATCCAAGCAATGGCAAAGCTTTATATTGCGGTATCTTCTTTTAATTCCAAAAACTCCAACTCTTCTGCGCTTTTCTTAAAAATGAGTTTTTCGGATATTGCAAATTCATCCCCAATTATGTTACATAAAAAAGAGTTTATGAAGTATGCAAAGGTACATTTTAATAACTTGAAATCGGCAAATCTTTTTTCAAAATCTGCTTTTAAATCATGTGCAATGGAAAATTCTAGCCATGGAAAATGATGCGATATTCTTTTTTCTGATCATGAATAAAAATACGTAGTTTAGCTTCAAAACTTAAAATAATTTGCGACCAATCAAAAACATTTGTATTCTCCTCTTGCAGAGACAAATTCAAGTTTTGCGAATGTTCCATCATACCTATGGTGACCATAATTATGGCAGCCGAAAGCAGCACTAATGATAATTTTGCTAATTTTTTTCACAAAAGCTAGAGGATTTTAAACATCTTTTTCAATGATTCTAGATTTATTAGCCTCGAAATAGCATTTTATTTGGCATATACTTTTCGATATTTTGTGAAAGCAGCACATAAATATTTAGTTGTAATATCACACATTCGTACACACATGCTCGGGATTTTTACCCCGCAAAATTTTTTTCAAACATTCGTAAGCAGGGAAACATGATGAAAATATGCGACTACTTTTGAAACACGAGTGGTATTCAAGCGATTATTGTCAGACTCGGATTTCGACCAAGCGCAATGTAGTGAATATCATCCGGAACGGGCTGAATGTAAAACGTACACCCAGAAAAAGGTTTAGTTATAATAACCAAGATTTGGTTATAGTGATCAAGTGGCATAGTTGGATATGGCGAAATAAATATATAGTTCACGAAAGTCTGCAATTTACTTAAGACTTCTAGTTGGGACAAATGTATATTTGTTAATAATTACAAAACGACTACCTTGATTGGACAATATTGTTAGTTGAATAAAATCATTGTTGAGCAAATATAAAAAGAAAGTAGAAAATTTTCCTGCCCTAGGACCCGTACTCGGATCTCTCGAATGGCGCGCCAGTGCTCTGCTCACTCAGCTATTGCGTATGTTGAGCCAGTGCGCCCAAAATGATATAAATAGTTATTTTTATATTTTATTTCAAACTGAACGAAAAAAGTGAGTGATGCCACAAAACTAAAGGGCCGTAACTGGGGCCATACTTAAATTTTTTATTTCATAATTTTTAACTCTGAGAGGAAACATTAATTAACAGATTTAACGGTCATTAGTTAAGTGCCCGTTAGAGCTAATTTAAGGAACGTTTCTAAGTGCGGCTGTTAGTGTTTGTTAAGGAATAAACTATATTTTTATAAACAATAAATTAAAATTAAAAAATAATAAAATAAATGGTAAAATATAGTCAATATGTGAGTGTCGTAAAGTTATGATATTTAAGAACATCTCTTTCTTAATTAATGATGACACTGTTTCTATATGAAGCTGATTTCAACATTTTGTTTTAATAAAATTTAGTATCGAAAATATTCTTTCAAAACCTTTTTTAAAAACTTATAAAGGCAAAACCGAGAAGGCGAATACAAAAATTTTCCGCAGTGCATTTTCAGATTTTTAAATCGGTATAGTAATTTAATTTTTTAAATTTAAATAAAGCATGAATACCCCATGGAATAAACGAGTAGATAAAAAATATATAACGGTAAAACTGGCACATACATACATAAATATAAGGCGACGCCTCTAGCTATTGTGTGTCACAAATTTAAGTTATCGATGGACATTTTTTTTCATCCCCCCCAAAGCCAAATCCTGGCTACGCCACTGGTTCAGACCCTAATGAGACTTCTTACAAACTACAAGAATGTTTAAAAAAGTTAGAGCTATGGCTAGGTTCTTGGAGGATAAAGGTTAACGAAAGAAAGTGTGTTCAAACAATATTTACTTTGAGGAAAGAAACTTGCCCACCATTAAAAATAAACAGCAAGGCTATACCACAAAGAGATAGTGTCAAGTACTTTGGGATGACACTAGATGGAAGACTTACCTGTAAAAAGCATATAAAAAACAAAATTTCTCTAGCTAAACTAAAACAAGCAAGCCTTCAATGGGTTATAGGACATAAATCTAAATTAAGCCTTGAAAACAAGATGTTGATTTTTAATATGATGATGGCCATACGGAATCGGGCTTTGGGGCACAGCGTACAATTCCATTTTGAACAGCTTCAAAGACTGTAGTCAAAAATTTTACACGCCATATTCGGAGCACCTTGGTACATAAAAAATACGAATATCCGCAAAGATCTTAATGTATATACGGTGCATGAGGACATAAGAGGGCTAAGCACCAGTTACTCAGCACGGCTAATGAACCATCCAAATCGACTAACGAGAGATCTTAGCCCGAGATATGCAAGAAAAAAGAGAAAGAAAAAGAAAGGATTCTTCCGATATTATCAAATGATGAGCAATATAATATATGTATATGGATATCCGCAATATATTAATGTCGGCTCTGGAACTCGTCCGCTCAGACCGACTACCCAACACCAGTGTCAGTGCGGCTCGTAAACTTGGCCTTTCCGGCCGAACAAAGTCTTCTGGATTGTAATTGCTTAAATACAAAGACGCGAAGGCGCGGCGGGGAAACTAGTCCTTTCCACCCGGCCAGGCAGTGCGGCTCTGGAACTCGTCTTTTGAGACCGCCTGCCCAGCACGATATCCAGCGATCCTGCTGCTCGGAATCTTGCCCATATATATGTAAAAAAATTCAAAATTTCTAAGCATTGCCGCAGAAATTTTAAATTTAATGGTAGTTTGTAAGATTTGAATACTTATTGTTAGTTTCGAAAGAAAGATTCAATTAATAAATACATATTATAAAAAAAAATAAAAATAAAAAATAATAATTAATGTCATTACAGTTTTTGTGGCATTTTTAATTTAAATTAAATTTAAAAAATTTAGATTTCCTGGAAATAATTAAGTATGCTATAAACAGAAATTAAAATAACATGTTTATAATTTAAGCAAAAATAGAAATTATAAGAATTTTGTCAAGAATCGCTCGGAGGGGAAATCGAGCCTGGGTTTACTACCTCAACAGAAATACATAGAACCTTATTTTGAAATTTTAAAACCACGTTCACCTCATTTTAAAGCTGAAAAACTTTTTTGTGATAGAATGCATTTTAAGTTGACCAAAATTTAAAAAGTGGGTGAGCTACCGCGACGTCATGCGATTGTTCGATGTTTTCTTTTTCATTCTGATCATTTATGTATACATTTGTCTATATCTATCTCGATTCGTTTTGCCTGTTACAAACAACCGTTATGTGAACAAAGTTATAATACCCTTGTGCACAAGTGCGCTCGGGTATAAAAAGAGCCAAAATGTTCTATGCAAAGAGAAAGTAAAAAGAGCCGCATTTGACTCAAAGAGCCGCGATTGTCCACCGTTAACATATAGTAAGGAGTCAATAACGTCGATGAGGATGTTTAACCTGTAATTAGTGTTATAGCCCAGTTATGCATACTTAGCTTTGCATGAGGGTTGTCACATAAGAATCTTTTAAACGGGGTTTGCGTGTAAGCGGTTACCCAACGCATAGCACTTAACATGTAGAATTCTGTTGGGTTTTGATTTTTACGTAAAAATGGTATAGCAGTGCAAGTATGCATAACTGGGCTATTCACCAGTCACTAAGTAACCGGCCCTAAAACTAATGAACTTACCTTCGATTTGTTTGCCAGCCGCTGCAGCTGCGGCACTACTTAATGCCATACTGGTCAGTGGCGAGGCCGATAATGTGGTGCTACCGAATTGTGGCAATCCAGCTGCCGGTGACATACTATACGCGGACGTTAACGGGTTCGGATCAGACCCTGTAAGATGATAGAATTTTTTTTTTTTTATAGAAATATTGGGCAATTCGGAAATATAAAAAAACTTTAATCAAACATATAACTGTTAAATTTTGGAAACACACAAATGACGTCACCTAATGACATTTTCAACTAGGTTATTTTAATTTATTTCCAAAAACTGGTAGACGGAAATGTATGACGTATACCAAAGCCGGTTTTAGTGTGGAGCGTTCCGGGACCCAGCAGTAGGTTGTGCGCTATGCTTTGGCTACGCCGCGTCAAAAAATTAATTCAATGAAAAAATTAAAATACACCTGATAATTGCCCGCCAAACATAGACGACCCTCGCTTTCGAAATATGTGCTACTGTGTGAGTTGCTTCTCAACCGAATTTAGACCTTTCGAATGATGGGTCTATGTTTATATCTATAAATATTTAAAAAAAGAGAAAAGTATGTTTAATATCGAGTAAAACTGATGTTTATTTTTACAAAGTCGGCTAAAAATTAAATGAGATATTCAAATTTTCATGACAAATTATTTCAGAATATTGCATTCACTACAAGGAGAAAAAAAAACAAAAAAAAAAGGTTAAGCAAAAATTGTTGAGTTATATAGCCAAAAACATTATTTTTCTCATGAAAGGTTGTATAACTTAGTCAGATTTCCCCCGATTTTTTTAAATAAAAATCACTATATACCAAATATTAATATTGCATCAATTCAGGAGTAGTATAGTTGCTTTATAAAATAGTGCGTGAAAACTTTGCCAAATTTGAAAAAAGACGAAAAAATTAACACAGAAAATACACACAGATCTCTTAAGTTTTCTAAAAGTTTATATACATATATCATTCGAAAGGTCTAAACTCGGTTTATAGTCAACTGAGTTACAAGCTTATGAGTGCGGAAAACCGGGCTTTTAACAGTAAATCAAGATTGTGTGGGTGTTTGACAAAAATTTCGTATCTTGATTCTTACTTCACTCGGCAAAACCTACCTGAAAAATAACATGACTTACCAGGTATTTTTACTTCATTATTTTTTGTAGCATTGTGTAATAGAGCACACAAATTTGTTCTTTCTCTCTTTAATTTAAAAACTCTTTAAATATAATAAAATAACACTCAAGAAAAAAAAACACATAAAAATATAACAAATAATAAAAATTAATTCCCTACATACACACATAATTTTTTAGTATTTGCTATTATATCTGATTTCTTCTTTTAATGGTAAATGAGATGATTATTTCTTAATTGTTTCTAATTACACTGATTACTAATTATTGGAATATTTGAAACAAAATAGTTAATCATTAACATTTAAACAACCACCAAATCTTTTTTGCTATTCAAAATCAAAAATAAATAGGTTAAAATTATTGGATTCCTTAAATTTCTTTTTAAAGACGTGAAAACAAAAGCAAATAAACCATCACAAAAAATATTCTTTTGTGCATTTACCTGCATTTGTGCATTTACCTCAGACGCTACATTTCTCCATGCCAAACTAGTCATGTCTGTTGTACAGTCGTTTTTTTCTGTATAGTTCATAAACATGGGTTTTTTATAAATTCGAATAAAAAAAATTGAGGAAGATGTTTCCGCCTGAAAAAAGGGTCATGCTTATTGCAAATACCCAGCAAAAAATCGGTAATCGCTTTTAGTGGTAACGTGTTCTAGAAGGCATAGCGTTATAATGCCTTCGAATTTTTTCGCTTCTTTCAGGGATTGCCGGTAATGCAAAGTAGAATGTCCTACAATATTTTTTTTTATTTCGCTTCTTTTCTTCATTTCGGAGAATGCAAAGTAGAATGCTGCATCGTAGTCAGCTGAAAAATAGAATGAATATCCAAAAATTCATTTTCCACTGTTACTTTCTGTGGAAATTTGTCTCGCATAAAACTCATGTTTTTCTTTGTTCAATTTGCAGCGAAGTTGAAGTCAGTCAATGAAGTGAAGTACAAGAGTGAGGAAGTGCAATTTTAAACTTAATTAAATATGCATGTATGTAAATACCGATTTTTAAGTAAAATCTAAATACCTAAATACATACATATACACATTAGGTCAAATGATAACTTTTCTGTGCGAAATTAATAGCAGCTAAAATATTGCATTATTTTAATATAAAAATATGGCAAACGTTAAAAAAGTATAAAGGCAGTAAATAAAATGTGAAGACATGACTTGGCTTTCGTAAAAGAGACTTTTTTCTTTTTTGTATGTTCATATGATGAGTAAATGTGTTTAAGTAGTACTCAAAAACATTGCCCAATTAGCTTGGTTTTGACATAAGTTGCATTCTTACCATACTCATAAAATTAGCTCCATAATAAAATAAGTATGGTCACATGTACATAAATGGTTTCTTCTGGAAATTCCTGAATTAAAAAAATATATATATATTTACTGCATGTCTCGCAGATATGCCTTGAGGAGAGATTTCTGAAGCAGTTAGTCTTCATAAAACACTTAATTTTCATTTGAGGTTTCAGTATTCCCAAATCCTCCGATATTATTTATATTCAGAATGCAAATGCTGCTTTGTGACACGTTTACCAAAAATCGCAGGTAACTTCCTGAAAAGAATACGAATGTTTTTCAAACGAATATTCAAGGCTCTGTTCACTTTGAGTAAAAAATTTTGAAATTTCAATCCGTAAATTTTCTCAAGGATTTGTCTTTTTGCGAAGGCTGCTCATCAATGGTCTTTGCGAATCGGCGCAAGTGTCTTTGTAACATAGCCATGGCTACGCTACAAGAGATGAAATGTAATTCAAATTGAGGCTGTTATGTTTTTTGCTATCACATACTTCCATTTTCACTATTTATCACCATTAAAATTGACTATTTATCACCAAAAAATTTAGGCTAAGCTATTTTTAGCGAAAAGGAGGACAGAACCGCAATTTTTGAAGATAGCTGAAAATTCGGAAAAATTTTAGCTTTCGTATTTTAGCATTTTAGCGATAATGAAAGTTAGAATCCGGAACTTCATCAGCAGATCTAAATATTTTAGCATCCTTTCCGAAATGCCTTCCAGAATTTTCGTCTTTCTTTGATAAAAAATTGCAAAATATACGGGTTTTTTCTTCTAAGAGTTTTATGGAACTTTCGCAAATATCAGCAGCACCAAATTTTTTCAAAATGGTTGGCAACCGAAAAAAGCTTTTCCTTTTTCGAACACCCAATCAGCCAATCAGCCAAACTTCAAACAACTCACCTTTTGTAATAGCATATTAGCCCAGAAAAAACCGTTTTTCTTGAAAACGGCTAAAAACGGCGGGCTAAGTAAAATAAAATCAACTCCTTACATCTTAATTTATCCATCTCCTTTTCCATTTCGTTTGCCGAAGGTTAAAAAAATTGTAAAAGCTTATATAAAATCATAAATGGAAATAAATCAGAAAATTTTCGAGGTTATGCAAATAAGTCAGTTGTTTTTGCAAACAAATGATAAAAAGTCACTTTTTTAAATTGGGGCATAAGCTCTCACTTATAGTTTTGTTTCCATTTAAAATATTCCTTTAGTTATTCGAACTTTACACAAAAAATGCACTTGAAACTTAAACCGGTTGCGCAAACAACTTGCCAATAACGTTTTGAAAGTGTAACTTTGGTTTATTGCTGTCTAACGGTATTTTTTGTTTTACAAAAACAAAGTGAAGATTATGTTATTTTGGTGTATTATAGAATGGCAACAAAAAATAATGTAAATCTGCCCTTACGAAATTGGACTTTCGCACAGCCAAATGAATCATTTGACCTAATGTGATTTGTATGTATAAAAACAGATTTATAAAAATTTTAATTAATTTTAATCTTCTAAGACATTTTCTGATTTTAATTTAATATAAATATATGTACTTATCTAGGCATTCTACATTAGTTATTCTGTAAGGCATTCTTTGTTCGCTTCTCTGGATTCTGTTTATCCATGCGTTCTCCCTTCGTTTGAAGGTAATGCTGCGGGTAAGGGCTTACCGCCAATGGCATGCCCATGTTAAAATAATGCCTTCTTGAAGCGAAAGGGTCTCACCTCGTTAAGAAAACCGTGTCGCACGTGCGATACGCATGCAATATTATATCGCAGCGGTGTCGCTGTCGTGCAAGTGTGCACAGTTTTCATCGCTTCCTACCAATTCCCACGTACTCAGCATGCCGATGTCGCATTCATATCGTATCGCGTATCGTATCGTGTCGCTCTAATGTGCACCGTGCCTTATGTATATGTATTTATATAAATGTGTTTTTGAACGTAGACTCCAATAATTCGAATTCTATTTTAATGAAATCTTAATATGAATTATTAAGAAATTGACAAATTGAAATTTACAAGACTTTTAATAAATTTTCAGCAATATATGTAAATCGCTGTGGTTATAAAGAAGTCTACATAAACTACGCAGCATGAGACGGCACACAAATTTATTGTAGGATCTGTGATTGGGCGGAGACTGAATCGTTCCCTCTTCACGTTCACTCCTATCAGTGGTTCTAGTTTCACTTTTATTTCAACATATTTTGATTTAAAGAAAAATACGGATAAAAATAAAATTTTTCATAAAAACAGGGTTGAAATCTTGAAATTCCTGCCCGTTTTTTGTTTGTAAGTCAAATATGAGTGGCATTGTGCTACTATGATAGCACGGCCGAGTAATCATAGTCGCCCTATGCTAGGGCTGCCAGACGTCCCGGTTTTCCCGGACATGTCCCGGTTTTAGACTATTTGTCCCGGTGTCCCGGTCCAACCTTAAAATGTCCCGGGCTTCGTTTAAGTGTCCCGGTTTTCGATTTGATTGTACAAAAAAATCACTACACTAAGAGAAAAAACGCGTTGTAATATTCGGAAAATTTTATGAATTCATTGAGGGAAATAACGCACAGTAAAAATGAACATTTTTTATTTGATTATCGTTTTAAAATGTTCGTATTTTAAAATAATACTTTCATACCACACACGCGTGGTGTTGATTCAAACTCAACATTTGAATGCACATTTACATACATGTC